AAAGAGGCTGCTTCTTAGAAGGCGCTGGCCTTACATCTACAGACAAGTCTCGCGCCTTCTAAGAAGCAGGGGTGCTTCTAAGAAGCCTTCCCCACCCCCTAACCCCCTCTGCACGTGGCCGGATTGGAGGCCCGGAAATGGGCGCTTATACCCAATCATTGATTCTTACGTTGGCGTTGGTGGTAACATTTCGGCCACCCAGGAAGCCAAGACATGACCATCATCACCGAGATCGGGAGCATCTCCCGTTGGCGGAGGCACACCGCCGATGTTGGGGTTGGTTTGGTGTCAACCTCTTGGCCTCCGACAGCAGACAACAACTGGAAGATACATGGCGATGAGGTTTGCTGCCCCCAGTATCGCTAGACCTTTGACAAGACGTGCTCGCAACGGGGAACAGAAACGCGTGAGGTATTCGACTGTGTTCGGCCTCGTGGGGCCCTCGCCAGGCCCCAAGACCGGTAAAGCCTTAGTCGAGATGAAGAACTGGCCCTGGGACCTGGCTCGGGACTTCGGGGCCCGGCAGTGAGCACATCAGGACATCGCGTGTACGGGCGGTATCTTTGTAAGACGTGCCCCACGTCATCTCCGTAGCCGTCCTCCTGTGACAAGCTTAGGCATCGCGACGAGTACGTGGACACAGGGGCGATCGGAAGGACGACGGGGAGTGGCGCGAAGACGCATGGCGAGCTGATTGGGAGGACGCCGCGCGCTGGCCACAACAACGGCAGCGAACCTTGCAACTGTAGGGGGCAGCTCCCGGGAGCTTTTCGTAGAAACGATGACTCAGAGACCCGAGCGTGGCATTGTTTGTGACTCCGACTTTGTCCTACAGGTTCGGACCTGGGAGCCCTCACGCATCGATCCGGCTCGACACATGCTGCAGAAAGATCGGATCTAGATCCCCGGTCGCGGTTATCCGCGATGTTGATTCAGAGCTGTTCATCCAGATACCCATGACACTAATGCAGATGAACCTGGATCATACCAATGATAAAGCCAGATCAAGCGGGAAACTTCAGGCTCTTTTTTGACGCAAGCTTTACTGGCAGCGGAGTTGCATCCTGACGGAAAGAAGGGACCCAGACATCCAGCGCCTCGAGAGAAATCCGCCAGTTCGTCGCCACTGCTTGATCCCTGGAAGCTAGTTTCGGGCCTGGAGACAATCGAAGAGCATCCCGCGATGAACAACCAGCCGTCGTGGGGGACGGGCCAGGAGGTCTGGGGGGCCAGGGATCGAAATCACCAAAGTCGCAGACATCCGGGAAAACAGGGGCGAGGCGGATGCCCAGAGATCCGATGTCGTGATTCTTTCCATACGGGGTCCCCAGAAGACTCGACCCATTCCCCAAACTGGTTTCTCGTCCTGACTAGCTCTTCGAAGGTCCCCGGGCCCGGCGAGGGCCTCTATAGGGGCCAAGAACGGCGAACAACCTCCGTCTTGATTTTCAACACGCCGGATCTCTGGGAATGGTCGGGGCGACGCGGATGGACCTATGGATGGAGCCGCCCCCGCCTGGGCGGGCATCGCGAAGCCTCGGGGCGGCTTCGGCGGAGCAGGGGCCGCGGAGCCTTCACCACGCAAAGGACGCCCTGGCCTCCGCGGGCCCCTTTCAGGGGGGCGGCCTCGGCGCCGCGGGGCCGGGCCCGCCTCGAAGTGCTGGTAATGACGCGATCTAGGCCATGTGTCTGGGGGCCGATGTCGAAGGGAGGGGGGGAGGGAAGGGGGGGCAAAGGACCGTCTCCCCCTTCCCTTCCCCTGACCCTCACCCCCCTCATCCCTACCACCCCTCCCCTCCCCCCTCCCCTCCCTCGTCCCCTCCCCCTCCCCCTCCTCCTCCCCTTCCCCCTTCCCCTCCCCTCCCTCTCCCCTCCCTCTCCCCATCCTCCTCCTCCTCCTCCTCCTCCTCCTCCTCCTCCTCGTCCTCCTCCTCTCCTGCTCCGCCTCCTCCTGCTCCTGCTCCTCCTCCCTCGTCCTCCTCCTGCTCCCCTTCCCCCTCCCCCTCCCCCTCCCCCTCCCTCTCCCCCCTCCTCCCTCTCCTCCTCCTCTCCTCCCCCTCCTCCTCCTCCTCCTCTCCTCCCCTCCTCTCCTCCTCCTCCTCCTCCTCCTCCTCCTCCTCCTCCTGCTCGCCTCCTCTCTCCTCCTCCTCTCCTCGTCCTCCTCCTCCTCCTCCCTCCTCCTCCTCCTCCTCCTCCTCCTCGTCCTCCTCCTCCTCCTCCCCTCCTCCTCCTCCTCGTCCTCGTCCTCGTCCTCCTCCTCCCCCATCCCCCTCTCCCTCCTCCTCCTCGTCCTCCTCCTCCCCCTCCTCCCCCGAAGCAGGAGACTTGGCACAGGAAGGCAGATGCGATGAAAAAGAGACACGAGGGAGGAGAGGGGACGGAGGGAGGAGATGCGACACCAGGCCAGGAAGGGAAGACAGGAGAGGGACGAAGGCAATTAGAGGACGAGGAGGGAAGGAGGAGGAGGAAGTTGAGGAGGAGGAGGAGGAAAAAGAGGAGG